GTGACTACAAACAGAAGCAAAATTACTAATAAACCGATCATTTACGTGATAAATGTGATAACATATTACACAAAAACAGATAAAAAATAACTATAAATTTCTGTTTACTCATATGAAATGTTAATTTTTCAATTAGGCTATATGATGTCTGGTGGTTCAGGAATAAAATATTAGACCTGTCTTTCGCACTGCGGATACTAACGGGATCTTTTTAATCCTACCATACCCATTTTGGGTTCGGCCAGATCCATAATGGAAGTGTGACTAATTGAGCCTGACCCTACATATCCCGAACGGACTGCCGTGGAAAAATTCCTGGGAAATTGTCGCCGAGATTCGACTCCTGGGTCCCCTCAGAACAGTAGGCTGACGTCTTCACCGTCTCTGAGATAATTTAATCAGTTCTATCAAGGTTTAAGAATAGCAAAGTTCTTTTATTATCACAAATGACTACTTAAAGTTGACCTTGTCATCTTATCTTTACTAAATAGTATATCGCTAACAAGTTCTAACAATAGTTTGTATCTATAAAGTAAAAGAAGTCTAAAAGGATAATCGAGATCAGGTTTTATCTTTTGCACGATAAAAAATTGAAAAAACAAACGAAAAGTAAAATTAACATTAAGCTATATATTAACTATATAATAGCATTGAATGGATTGTATAAACAAATCTCACCAACAATCCTTTCCAAAGACTTCAAACTTTTAGTTCATATCATAAGCTCGAAATATGATAATCGATCTGATAACAATAAGAACTCTTCTATCGTTTGAAGTACCCATGTTCAAATCCAATAGTCAATCTCTTGACTTGTTGATACTTTTTCCGCGCTGTGAGCACCAAGAGGGTCATGAAGCTCATTAACGGAAGTTTAAATCGAAGTTTTGACAATGATGTAGTGTATATAGTTTTAGAGAATCCCAAGTCGATTCTCTCCTAATTTTATAATGTGGAATATAAATTCTATTAGAGCTACTGATTTTTTTAAACTTATATTTATAATCGATGTCTCCAGGTTCAATTGTCATTAATTAATAGTCTATATTTAAATAATTAATATTTTTTTCAAGTTAAAAAGTTTTGGTCACTTAAGCTTGGCAATCAGTTGGTGAAATAAATTAACGGAAGCCTTCTACCAAAAACAGGTTAAATCTTGCCTCGAGTCCTGTGTGTTATTCATAATAGGCCTATAGCATAAATAATTTATTTACTTGATTTATAAAATAAGCTACATAAACATAATGTTTATTAGATCAATAAATAAATTTATAACAAAATATATTTAATTTATTTAACGTTTATTTATATATTGGGAAAACAAACGGAAATTTGAAGGAGAAATCTAGAGTAAATTTAAAATTTTTGAAAAATTGTAAAAATTTACGAAATGGTTTTCTGGTAAATTGTAATTTTGTAATTCGCCAATGGCAAAGAAACACAAATGCCAGTTGAGGGATGCTAACTCAAACGAAATTTAATTTCCGCTCTGTTGACAATTAAAGCACTTGACCCACACTAAACCCGGAGTTTGTGGATTAAAAAGACAGTTAAGTCCATGATGAATGGATGAAAGATATTTTTACTGTACTATACATAACAAATATAGTACTATAGAAAAAGTATAATACTGTATTTTTTGAATGTAAGATTCTATCATATATTTCTAACTTAAAATTCGGATAATTCTTTGTTACTATTCAAAAATTCTAAACGTAAAGAAAATTTTATATTTCCCGTTAATACTTTTTTAAATATGTGGTACATTATTATTATTTGGGTTTAATAAATTCTTTTAAAGTATAGACCTACTCCCACTTATCTAATTTTCTTTGAAATACTTTCATAAAATTCGAAGCAATACAGTAGATTTATCATAAATTATCCTTTCAACAATATGGATAATGGGATAATAAATGATCTTAGTTATTCTTGTGGAAGAGAGTGAAATACGAAATATCTATTTAATATAAGAAAATTTTATTGAAGAAGTTCAACAGAAACAACATTATTTTCAAAAAAGACAATGAATTAGACTCATAGAATTCGAAATATTTCGTATTCTGTGAGCGAAAGAAATACAATATAATATAATTTTATATATGAAATTATATACTTGAAAATTACAGTAAAAATCTTATTTTCTTATTATAAAAGTCAAAAATAACTTTTATGGAATGTAGGCCTAATCTGTAAAAAAGTTCAAAAATACTAAAAATAAGACTAGTTTCAAACGATTAAATTCGCTTAAAAATAGACTATTTATTAAAACGAAACGATAGTTGCTTTATAGAACGTGTTACTAAATTGCTGTTTATCACAGAATTTTTTCTAACAATTAATTAAATGTAAACATGTCACGCATACTACAATAATTATAATGGCTGTTATTTCGTTATCTCGTTCTTCGTTTCGTCTGCTTTTACTTTAAATAGACATGAAACAGATCATCTGTAATATATTTATAGCATTTTTATAAATTCAACTTGAATAATGCATATAAAACTTATCATTAGGCCACTAGATGATGTTATTTATACAGTTCGAACACTACTATAACTGGATAATAGGAAATCCTTTCTCTCGACCTAATTCGAATTGAACTCGTCATGCAACTTCGCGAAAATTTGATATAATGTGCAAATTATATTTGAAATACATACTTAAAATTTTTCTATATAACGTGACTAAATTTAAAGTTATTATATTTATATAAAGTTGTTAAGACTTCATGTGAAGCATTTTAAAATATGAACTTAGAATTTTGCTTTGCAACATTATTGTTAAAATTTGTTTATAAATTTTCACTACTGTTAAGAAAATCTGAAATTTTGTGTGATATTTTATATAAAAGCATGTCACAGATACAAAACTTGTACTTTATACAGCCAAATAACAATCAAAATTTTGATGAATTGGTCTTTTCACTACAGCCTTCACAACAGTACTGGAGTATGGCAACTCTCATTATAAATATTTAAACCCTTGTTCACTGTTCAAAAAGCGTAACAGTTTTAAAAAGCAAATTAAGTTGTAGTATAGAAGCTACACAATGACATATCCACAGGATTGGGTTAGGTGAGACAATATAAAATCGATGAACCGAAAACTTTACTACTACTTAGTGACTGAAATTAGCTAATGATGAATACCAACTGAAAGAACTGTTGATTATATTAGATTCTATTTTGGCTGTGACCTCCTTTTGTTGCTAGTTTACATCCATGTTCTATATTTTGTTTTATATATTATAAACAATACAAAGTAACCTAAATCCAGTTTTGAACAAATTGCATGCAAATTTAAAACAATAAAACGACAGGAAAGATGAGTTTCAATATATTTTACTGAATGTGGATATACGAGGGCTGTTCAGAAAGTTTGCGGCCTTGCCTATATGTGGCGTTGCGATCAATTTAATTTTTGACGGGAATAATGCAGCCATCTTTGCTAAAGATACGATACCAATTTTCGCTTGATTTGTCGTAAAGTTTTACCACGACAGCTTAGCAGATAGTCAGTGTGCACATGCTTTGTCAAAAATGGAGAAGACGGAGACTCGTGCGGTCATAAAATACCTGACGAAAAAAGGGTTGACCCCATCTCAAATCAAAGCTGACATGGATGAAGTTTTAGGAGAGTCTGCTCCTTACTACACCACTGTGAAAAATGGACAGCCCTTTTTAAATCTGGCAGAGAAAGNATAAAGACTTCTATGTGAATTTATCCAAACTAATATATTCTTTCTGGGCCATAAATGGACTTACACCACTTTCATAATTACTAAACTGTAAAATTCATTAAATTTCTATTATGTAAAACTCAATGTCACTTGAAACACATTGCGTTTTATTCTGATTTTGTTCATATATAATAACAAGAAATAAAATAGTATTGTTTATTCTGAACATTAAAAATATTTACTTATTGTTAAACTATTTTATGATAAATTTATCATTATTATGAGCTTACCATTAGACACTGCTTTTCATTTAGATTCATTACATGGATTTTTTTCTAGTCCATCAAATTGTACATTTGTTGGTAATATTTACAGTTTTACTCTTCTGTTGTAAGGGGCTGTCTTTAAATGATGTCCACACTGAAAGGGAGGGAGGGGTTAAGACAAGTTGGACAAGGAGGGTTGAGTATTAGTGGACATCCATTTATTTCATTAAATTTTATACAATATGCATTTTATTATATTTATTTCAAAGTTTCTTGTATGTTTCATTTCTACTTATGGTATCTATCATTCATAAAGTGATGAAGGTTTTAACAGGGATAGAGTTATGTTCGACATCCATAGAGGGAAAGGGGTTACAAAAACTTGGACAAACTGAAACAAGAGGGAAAAGTAAACATTTCAAGAAAAATGCACATGTAATTTATGGATAGCCCAAGTGCTTAGACTGTAGAAAATGGACTTATACCACTTTCAAAATCAATGGTTATGCAATGTCATTTATCGATAAATTTTCAATTCATAAAAGCTTATGGTTATTTTAAAATGTTAAGTGTGAATTGTTTATAAATAAAAAGTTCACACTAAATTGTATGTATATTTTGTGTTTTCTCAATTTTTTCCAAAAATGGACTTACACCACTTTCAAAATAAACGGTCCATGTGATGTATGAAAAAAATTTCCATCACATAAGTTATAAACTGTATATGTAAGGCCATTCAGATTATTGGATGAATATAAAAGAAACCAAATAAACTTCTATATGAATACAAAATTTATTGTAATAATGACCTTTACAAGTTCAAACAATACATTTTGAATATTAATGTTATGAATTTATATAACAGAATGAAAGTTTTTACATGAATTTACTCATATTTCACACTACTAGTCGATAGGATATGTATCTTCCAGCAGTTTCACTAGGTCTGATAATTTTTACTACCTACAAAAAATTAAATACATTAATTATATTATATTACATAAAAAATTTTCAGATATATAAAATACAATAATACCTGTCCTCTCTTTAGTCCAAAGTATCGTGCAACTGGATCACCATCTTGGATACGCATCAGCTGGTTTTCCTTTAATTTGCTATCAAGTTAAGAAACTTAAAAAATTAAATTATAATAAACTACATTATTTTAGCAACAGAATTTAAATGAACTACAATATACCGTATTTACTCGCATAAAAGATGATCTCGCATATAGGACGAGGTGTGACTTTAAAGATCAAAATAAAGAAAATTAGATTTATTAATACAATTCTAATTTTATTTCATTTAATCCCAAATAAAATATTAAATGAATGTAAATGCACACATTGTCCTGCAAAAATTACTGGCATTTTAAACTTTAAAAAAAAATCTTGTAAAATCAACAACATAATTTATTCATGTAAAGCTGGACAATCGGGAACCTTTTTTGCCAATTCTTAACAGTCGAATCCACTCTCTGTTGATTACACTTATGAGTTTTTCTGAATTCTGATTTTCAAATAATCATATGTTTTCATGTGGGAATGAATTAAAACTTATATTGTGCTCCCACGTGATTTTGGAATTTTAATTTGGAATCCAATTCAAACGCTTTGCTATTCCTATTGCTATTCATCTTTACTCCTGACAATACACATGAACAATTCAAAAACCCCAGATAAAATACTTTAGTTTTTAAACACATCCAGGGTGAGGATCCAGTAAAAAGTGTGAATACACAGTTCATAAAAATTATTTCCAAAAATGCAAAGAATCCTTCATTTGTGCATATAGGATGACCTAGTTTTTTAAGCAGTGAAAAATGAATAAAAACCTCGTCTTATATGCAAGTAAATACAGTAATTATTAAAATATAAAAGTAATTTATTTCAAGTTAATTAAATTAAGGAATCAGTAACATTAGTATATACTGTACAAGTATCTGTACTTCACTTATTGGTTATAACAGCTTCAAAATTGGAAATATTATTTTTGAAAAATTTTGAATTTTGCAACTTGGATTTAAATAACATACAGAATGTTCTGTATATTTTTTCTACATTATCTACGATGAATATTCTGCGAAATACAATTTGAGAATTTTTTTACATCATTACGATTACAGCAGAGCGTCGTTTATCCGAAAGCATTCCAGTCGACAAATTAAAATTTTCGCTGGTGCTGTGATGCTGCAATCTTTGGCTATATCTTGGGCTACTCCAATATTTTTTTTGTTGGTGTGTGTGTTTTAGCTGACAGCACTGGCACTATTGTGTGATGTTTTTCTGAGGACTGTGTGCCGTGTTGAATCGAACGTTTTTGATAGTAGATCAACTTCTACAGTATATATTTTTTTGGTTTTTATATTTTTCAATATATTTATTTTATTTGTACAAAATAAAAAAATAATTTTTAACGATACAATAGCCACGATTATTATTTTAAAAAGTTTTTGTTAGGCTTAACATCGACGAAAATTCAACACAAAGCAATATGCAATGGAGAAAAATTTCAACATGGGATAGGTTAATATATTTTTTTGCACATAATCAGTTATCCGAACAACCCCATTCCCCAATTGATTTGGATAAACAACGCTCTACTGTATTGCTAAATATATTTACAGTAAATTGTATTTAACAATTTTAGAATTCCTCTATCATATAATTTATAAAGGATACTATCTGGCAAGTAATTCAGCTTTTTCTTCAGGTGTCATTACAACATGCTCTGGAACAAGCTAGAAAAAAGATCAAATTTTAGATTTTCAAATAATTTGAATATAAAGTAATATCTAATTGTTAATGTGTTTATTTATCATAAATTATCATTAAATTTTTATACATTTATAATGAAAAGAGTATTTTAGTTATCATTAAAGTTACTGATTTGAACAATACATTTTAATCTCAATGAAATCTTTTCATTATAAAATTTTAAACTTTTCATTCAGATATTTTATCTATTCATAGCAATTCCTACTTTACTCCAAAAAACAAAGAAGTGAACATTATTTTTTGAAGTGTTTGAACTTATTTAACAAATTTATTATTGGGCAACTTGAAAAAAAATCATCAAGGCAGCCAAGGAAACAAATTCCCTGATTTTTCCTGACTTTTTTCAAACACAAATGAAAATCCGACTTTCCAGGTGGGTAAGAACTTGTATAATAAAATCATTTTTGTTATATTTTAGACCATCTTCAGCTTGTAATTGCAAAAGTTGTTGCTATCAGTATTCAATCTATATTAACTTCTTAACCAACATTGTGTTTATATATGTTACTGTGAAAGACCAAAACTAGAGAATGTCAATATTCTCCTGTGAATGTCAACACATACAAAATACGTCGGTGAAAGACCGAATATTTGGTTATATTATTATACATTCGAACAACCGCCGGTGTATGTCGACAAGCACAGATAAGCTTTGGTGGAGGTCGAAACAACACCCGTGAAGCCGATGCCGACAGAGGGGCGACAGTCTGTTGCCAAATCCTTTGTGGGTAGCCAGAGGTAGGACAAGGTCCTACCTCTTTTCCCGGCAGTGGTTTGGTGGAACCTGCCCACTTTGTCACTGGATGGCGTTTTTGTTCTTTTGATCCTGTGAGGTGGGTATCAGTTTGTCAGGTCATGTGGTGGAGGATGAGAGGGGTTGTCGGTAAGGTGTTAGCACTATCCGAATAAAAGACACCATTATCAGATCAGTTCGTAATCACGTAATCAGTTCATAATTTGTAAAGAAAAATTACTTTTCATAGATGAGATTTCTTCTCAAGAAATATTGTTGAGATAAGCAGCCAGTTGCGTGCCGTGACATTTAATAATAGGGAAACTGTGTTTCTGTAAGAAGCTGACATCCAGGGGCAATCAGTCAATTGCGTGTCAGTGATGGTCTAGGGTAGGGTGACCATATATTGACATAGTCAAAGTAGAACAATATTGACATACGGTGATCAATAGTGACAAAGTAGGGTGACCATATATTGACATAGTCAGCTTAAAACAATAAAAATTGATTGTAAAAAAAGCACAAAACACTAAAAATTGATAAGTAAATAATTTTAAATTGATATACTACTCTTTGTTGCAATTGTACCCATTATTTAATATAAAAATATGAAAAGAAAAAAAGTTTATTGTTATTATTAATGACTACCTATTGGCCCAGAAGTAGTTATATGTGAAAGTAGGACATTTCCATTAGGCGGTAGGATGTAGGACGAAAGGTTTAATTGTAGGAATGTCCTCTCACAATAGGACGGGTGGTCACCCTAGTCTAGGGTCCATTCATATCGTTTATTCAATAAACCAGTAAAAACCGTAACTTCTCTAAATGCATTTTTAATATCACAATTACATTCTGACTTGCTAGCCACAATATAAGGGCTACAATTAAAAAATAAAATCTTACTCGGTGAAATAAAATGTGTGGTGGATGTACCGGTACATATCTGGTACAAAATATTCTTCAATTGTATGAATATACTTTTAAAGTAAATTATAATTAAATATAGCTTTGTAAAGAAACGTACATAAAAATATAAAATATTCTTTACTTTTTAAATCTTAAAACAATGCACTTAGTCAAATAGCTCTCTACAAGTGGCTAATGGATGGAATCAAAGACAGTTGCAGAGTGTGCATACACGCAGACTGCCAAATCCGCAGATATCGATCAATATCAAATACCTCTTTTGTCGCATCACTAGTATATCTCAAATGATGTGCAGGGCTGTTGTAGATTTTAAATGTTTCTCACCATAGCTGTAAAAATCTAAATATGTTAAACTTAATAGTCATTTGTTTTCTAACTAATTTGTTTTAGGATCAAGTGTCCTCAGAAATTTCCAAAATTTACAACTTTTCGGTCACTTTCATTGAACTGGAAAAATTTCTGTCTTTATTACATTAATAATATGAAGAAATCAGTCTCCACTGTACTCGGCTACAGACAGTTTGGTTAAGCTTTTGTTTAAGTAAAATTTCGGCTCTTTCATCAGGGTTTTGTTTATGTCCCCAATTCCCTAATCGCTTAATTATTTAACTACTTCTTAAGTAGAAATAAGTCGAAACCGGTTACTTTGTACTCAAATATTTGTAGTTTCGGGAAAAAGTGAAAGACAAATTTTTATGACAAACGGGTACATAAATCGTAAATTTAAAGAAAATAAATTCTAGAGCTTTTTCTGTACCTCGTTCATCACTCTCATTCATTAAATTTAGTTGTAAATGATGCTGTCAGAGTAACATTATACAAGAATTTTTTTAACATTAATTTTTTAACATTATACAAGAATTGTACACGTTTTTTCTGCATTCCCTTACAGATGGATATACAAAATCGTAATATCACTGGTTTAACATCGAAATCCGTGAGTAATATAAAATCAGAGAGTGGAATAAAAATATCAAATATTTTAATGGATTTTTTAAAAATCCTGTCAACTGTACAGAACTATCATAAAAACATACCAGTAAATTCTTATCGGTTGGATTAAGTTATAAATCTACTCGTGATTCACGTAATCGGGCGAGGGCATCCAAACAGCAGACAGGCTCCTGGATAGAATTGGATGCAGTATATATGTAGCATCCACCCAAGGTCCTAGGCTTCCACGTGGGGAAGCCTAGGACCTTGGGTCGAGTGAAACCGGGTGAGGTTGGTGCTATGTAAAGAGCATGCGTGAATATGGCTTTTTGGATGCTGACGATACAGCGCTTCCACTCCGCCACTAATATTCAAATATACAATAGTGATCTTATCTTTTTTTTCACATGTAGTATAGAAATTTGTAATAAGATACATAATGCGGTTATAATAAAATATTGTGCGATTATTTTCATATAATTAAAATTAATATGTATTTATTTTTTAGAAAATACAAGGGAAGCGGCGCATCCACCGCTTCCAATGATGGCACGCCACTGTAAGCAGCAGCAGATAATTCAAAAAGTGGAGGGCAAGGCTATACACGCTGTCATTGCAAAAAGAAGTGTTCCACGAATAAATGCAATTGTAAAAGCAAGGGACTCTTGTGCAATTCAAAGTGCCATAACAGTTTAGGTTGTTGCAATGAATAAGGTTGTATAACGTTAATCACATAATTTATGTGTAAGTTTATTACTGTATTATTTTCTTTAATGATTTAGAATGTACTGTTCGTTTTAGGTTCAACAGTTTATTTACATGTGCTGTTACTTAAGCTTTCTCCTATTTTGACATATTAATAAGTTACAGTTTTGTCTTAAAACGTAATAAAAATATTTTTATTCAACATTCACCATCAGTGCATGCTGAATGTCGACATTTGCCAGTTTAAGTGAGAAATAATGACATTTAGCAAATATTTCGTATATACACGAAACAACTGTGTGAATGATGACATTCACCAGATATCAATCATTCACAGTAACATATACATTTGTAATTTCAACCTGAAGATAAGTGTAAAATAAGTTAAAATAATTTCTGTTATGATAAATGAATTTGGCTTCCTAAAGAAAACAGTTTCCTTTAAATAGTTTATAAAATGGTGCCAATTTCTCACAATTTTTTGTAATAAGTAAATAAAAATAAAAAATTTACCTCGTGTTCTGTAATATTTATTAACAATTCTGACTCCAAAAAGTATTCAAGGATATATTTTGGTGCCATATCAGATAATGCCTAAAAAATAATTTTATTCAATTAACACTTATATCAAAATACAGTATAATTCATACAAAAGAATGCTAACATTTTTTAAATTATTGTAATTATCTTAATTATTATCAGAGAAACATTATACATTAAACATTATGTATAACATATTTAACATATGTAGATTTAAACATTGGAAAACTGAATACATATATACACAACTATACTATAAACATCTACAAGCCCAAATTTTGGATTAAAGCAAAACAATTGCTGGATTACAATAGGCTATATTAATGCTATTAACGACTAATTAAATTTCAAGAAATTTGGTCTAGAAGTGGGTATTAGGTGCCATCTCTTAATAAATTTAATAATTAACTTAGACAGTTCTGAAAAAAGAATTGGTCCAAAGCAGGACTTGAACCCACAACTTCTGCATACCATGCAGTCGTGTTGCCACTACTGCTAGAATAAGACAATGTGAAGGAATAAGATTAAAAAACTCCTTATATTATATCAAAGCTTGTGAATACAACTAAACACTTCCATATAACAGCAGATAAGTAATAAAATAGCTTATAATTTTTTGTTCTCTTATTTAATTGCTATATACTACTCAAGGTGATGCCTCTCAATAGTTCAATTGAATAGAAATATATCAGTAAGAAGTAATACCTGTTTTGCAGATGGGGTCATTCCCTGTTGCACAACAATAATAGCCCGAGATATATTTTCTTCTTGCATTCTTTGACAGTAAGTCTTAATAACTTTGATTCCAATTTTAGACTCCTCTGGGAAAAATACAAACATCTGATCTGCAATAAAAAGAAAGGTATATTTAGTGTTATTAAAAAAAATTGCTTGTTATTTACTTTATAATGTAAAATTTCTACCTGTAGGATCATCATTGTGAGCAACTAAAACAATCAAATCAGCTCGGGCAGGTTTCCTTTCACTGAAATTAATTATACTTAATCATAATCATATTCAATTACATATTTAATTCACAGAATTTAAATTGGTAATAATA